GCGAGGAACAGTATTAAGAACTGCTGCTTTAGAACATTGATTTTGAAACTTGTGAATCCATTAGAATCGTTAGAAGACAGAATCGCGATTCATATATGAACAGATTTTTACGTGCACATCTAGTTTTCTCTTCTCTAAAGCAGCGCAGCATGGCCTCGCCCCTTTACTGCCTTTTCCCGAGGGTGGGGTTTATCTGGGTTTGTGATGTCACGAACCCGGGAAGTAACTTCTTGTAGTCCCTACCAACGGTTTTTGTAGGCATTAAACTGGCAGAATTTTAAAAGACGATATCTCCGTTTGCATTGAACTTTCAGCTTCGTAACTTTGCAGATATTGTTTATGCTCAAACAGCAACATTACACACTAACTAACGTTAAAAAAGTGAAATCGCAATCAACCACCTCTTTAAATACAGCTTAAATACACTTTTTAAAGAAAACATTTGACAAAAGTATGTTTTTGTGATCAACCCTATTCTATTATTATTATTTCATATTTTTCTATTCTACTTTTTATTTGTGAAACTTTCCAAATTCTCATACTTATTTAATCAGAATTTGCTCCACATCAGGCCATCCAAGATGTAAAAGGATTTTTTCCCCCATCCGAACAGATCTGGAAAAATTTAGCATTACATCACTTGCTCACCAATGGATCCTCTGCAGTGAATGGGGGCCGTCAGAATGAGAGACTATCCTTAATGTTGCTTTCTCCAGTGAAAAAATTGTCTTGTCTAATTCAGGAGAGGAAAATGCACAGATAAAGCACCGTTAAGCCAAAACGGTTCTAAACAAATATGTCGGTGGATTTTAAGGACAACAGGGGATGGACTTTTTCACAATAGTTTAAAGTTTTACTTCACAAAATGTTAATTGATGGGCTTAAGTCGTGTGGATTACTGTGATGTTTTTTATCAGCTCTCATTCCCATTCACTGCAGAGGATCCATTGGTGAGCAAGTGATGTAATGCTACATTTCACCAAATTTGTTCTGATGAAGAAACAATCTCTTCTACATCTTGGATGGTCTGAGGGTGAGAAATTTCAGAAGAGAAAACTATTCCTTTAACCACAAAAAAAGGTGCAAGATTTTGAATCGGCAAGCACTTAGTTTAACTACCAATGGTCATTGACTCCACGAGCATGAAAGAGCTTCTCTGTTGTAGATCAAAGTGGTGGATCCGAAGACTAAGCAGTGCAGGGTGCTTGCAGGCACAGGGAAGGCTGGGAACGGACTTGGCCCGAGATTTCTGGAGTCCAGCTTCAATGAACCTGGAGGCCTGTGTCTGGGTGAAGAAGGAAAGCTACTGTATGTGGCGGACACCAACAACCATTGCGTCAAAGTCCTGGACCTGGAGACCAAAACTGTCTCTTTGGTGAGTCCCTACATGTGGTTTGTCATCTGTCAGTTGTCATTCTTAACGATTTTTTTTATTGTGTTTTATTTATTTTTTGCGCCAGTTTCCCATTGTAGTTCAGCAAGAGGTTGATGCTGTCCTCACAACCGCCACTAGCAACACACCTGCGGTCAGAAAGCTTCCCAAGCTCCCCAAATCAGCCCCAGTCTTTACAATGTCATCAATCACAGTTCCTTCAGGACACTCAGTGACACTTTTGCTGAAATTGGCACTACCGGCTGGGACCAAGCTGACCGAAGAAGCCCCTAGTTTCTGGAGCTTATCTGCAGAAGGTACAAAATCAAATGTATCCAATAAGAGCATCTTTACTAGCTCTCAATGCCAATCACTTACCATGCATATTATGTAAAACGCGTTTGTTTACATGCAGTTTTTCGCACCTTTTACACTATTCTTCTGGGGCTCCTCCGTGTAGTATTCTGTTTGCTGGATTGCTGTGTTCACACATTTTCAGCAGGCTTCAGGGACCAGCTGGCCATACTGGGAGATGATCCAAGGAAAAATAAACAATTCCTCTATGCATCCCAACACACGGTCAACCCCTCATTCTATCTTACCCTTCCTATCTCTCTCTCCTTTTAGCATCATCATTTCTGCCTCACCCTCCATCCGTCTGCTGCAACATTTGTCTTTCCTGTTGTCTTTTCTCTCAGTTCTTCTTCACAAAAACGTCAATCCCACCCGAAAGCACAACTTCCATGATTGATAATCAGCCCAGTCACCAGAGATGACTTCTGCTCATCACACTGGTTGTTTGTCTACGCTCCGCAGTCCGCACCAGAACATTCTAAAATCCAATAAACAAGCACCTAATTAGTTGACTAAAAGTGGTCATAGTTGAAGTGACAAAAAGTCCCGGGGGGCTACTCTGCATAATTAGAACAAAGACACCCATTAGGACCTAAAAAGCCTGACTGCCTGTGGGAGTTAAATTCTCAGAAACGGCAACTAATAGGTCTGTCTGACTTTGATTGATTGACTGTAATTATGCACCAAATTACCGTGAGTGCTTGTTTGTGGGTGGCTTCGCATTGTGTACTAGTTAGTAGTGTTAATTGTTTTGTGTGTTATATGTAAATACAAGTGTGAGATTGAATTCCTGTAATTTGTTCCCCTGGAAAATTATTATCATTATGTAAATGGTTACATCAGCAGGGTCAGAAATTAATGGAGACTTGGGGAAAGTGCCATCAAAAGTGACAAAAAATATGACCATTATTTTTATGATTTTATATGTACATTTACTTGTGATTTTATATATTTTTTAAAAATCTTAGTTATATAGTTGCATTAATTTAAAGAGAACAGCTTTTAGTTATTTATAATTTATTTGTAAATAAGTATTTGCACACTTAATCAACATTTAAAAATGAATATCAGATTAGATAAAATATCAAACATAGTGTCATTTATTTTAATGAAAGACCTTGTTTCTTAACCGTATGATACTGTCTTGTACATGAGCAGTCAGACTTAATGCTATTTAATTGGCATTATTTATTATTGTTTATCAGGCTTAAGTGCCTTTTACATGAGCAATACACTTTATATGAATAAATTATGTGTTGGAAATCAAGCGGTGACATTAATTTCAGTGTTCAGTATTTTGTGGAATGGAATCATGAGCCATTTACATCTACATATTAATGTTTTCTGAAATTATAGTCTTTTAGTGCTGTTAGGCATTAACAATGGAACTACAATGTGTTTTTAAAGCTGGCTGGTACATCATAGATCAGGTGCTTGCAGCTCATGCACTTGGAGAGTGTGAGTGTGAATCAGACCAAGTGATTCTTCTAGACACTGTGTAGAAATGGCCACTAAAATTGTTTTGTTGCTGTTTTTGCTTGCTTTTCCTGTGGCTGTTCTAGCACATAAACTATTTAATAAAAACAAAATGTATCTCTCTTCCTTTTGAGGGCAGCTCTTTTATACAGCCTCCAAATTCTGCACTTTAACAGATTAATTGGATGCAGTGGTCTAATGAAGTTTATTTTCCCAGCATTTATGTGTTCAGCGTTTTCATGTCCTCCTCACTACATTCAAGGACAAATGCATTCATTGTAAATGACAAAAGACCATCTGTTCCAGCAGAGATGCTTCATGGTAAGAAAGATTTCAGTTGGTTTTTTTTCAATGACACTTTAGAACAAGGTTTGATTTGTTAATATAACGTATTAGGTATCATAAACTAGAATCCAAACATTTTTACAATATTTATTGACCTAGGTTAATATATAAATATACCATTGATCATTGTTAATTCATGTTTGTTCATAATACGTTTACCTAACGTAGTTCATACAACTTTGAAATCCTGAAAATGAATATGTAAATGTGTTTGTTTGTGTGTGTATATATATATGTATATATACACTGATTAATAAATGGTGTAAAAGTATTGTATATTGTCCGTTAATTATACACTACTGTTCAAAAGTTTTGGGTTGGTAAGATGTTTTAATGTTAATGTCTCTTACGCTCTCAACAAGGCTGCATTTATTTGACCAAAAATACAGTAAAAAAAATTATAATTTAAAGGGGTCATATGATACTTTTTTAAAGATCATTATTTTGTGTATTTGGTGTAACAGAATATGTTGACATGCTTTAATGTTCAAAAAACACATTATTTTTCAAATACTGTACATTATTGAAAGTCCTCTATGACCCGCCTCTCTCAAACGCTTCGTTTTCTACAAAGTCCCTCCTTCCGACAAGCGCAGTCTGCTCTGATTGGCCAGCTGACCCAGTGCATTGTGATTGGCCGAACACCGCAAGCACTCGTCGGAAATGTAACGCCCCTAACCATAATCTCGAGCTTCATCTTTCAAAATAAATGTAAAGACAGTAAATAATGTCATTAGTTTTACCATCAGTTCAAGCCCGAAATGGGAACAGAGTCGCGTGACAGATACAGTGATGAAGCTGGTATGTGTTTGCATTACTCAAGCCACGGTTAAGACAGCTGACTCCACTGTGATGTTACCCTGTCTCTCTCTCTCTCAAGGTAGATATGTGTGGGCGTGTTAGAACGAGGCGTTTTAGGGGGGAGTGACAGAGTCTTAACTTTGATAAAGAATATTTCTTTGGTTTTGAGACTTTAGTCTTTGCAACTTCAGGGTTCTTATCTATGCACAATCAGCTTGTAACACTCCAAAGAGAAAGGAAAACTTGAAATCGCATCATATGACCCCTTTAAGAGATCATGAATGTGATGTTACAAAACAACTTCCAATTTGAATATAATTTAAAGTGTAATTTATTCATGTGATGGCCAAGCTGAATTTTCACCAGCCATTATTCCAGTCTTCAGTGTCACATGATCCTTCAGAAATCATTCTAATATGCTGATTTGGTGCTCAAGAAAGATGTATTATTATTTTCAATGTTGAAATGTTTTTGTGGAAACCATAAAACATTATTTTCAGGATTCTTTGATGAATAGAAAGTATAAACATCTTTACTGTCTCTCAAATTTAATGCATTCATGCTGGGAAAAAAAGTATTAATTTCTTTTTTATTTTTTATTTGTAGTGTACCTATTTAATTAACTAATGTTAAAGTGCTTGGCTGTCTGCAACCGGTATTGCCACCACGCTCCATTTCCTTGGCTTAATGTTCTCAGCAATTCCAAATAAAGCTGAGCTGTGAAAATATATGCTTTGTGCTGCTGAATGTGATCCTCATAATCTCTCGGCAAACACCGAATGCCATCAGAATGTTAATTTCCACTCGCAAGAATCCCCCAGAGAAGCTGCAGCACCCATTACTGCGCAACAGGCTAATATTTAACCAGAAAACACATTACGAATCAGAGACCGAGTCCATATGCAGGATTAACAGAAGCGTAAATAAGAAATAGAACATTAGAATTTAACAGGAAGTCAATCAGACAGCTGCTTTTTGACACACATCTGCTTTCATCACAACAGCTCCCAGCAGCAGTGAAAGAACATTTGCACTCTTGAGATGATTACACGCATCATTATGAGAGAATTTATGAATTTATCAAAGACATTCTTGCAATTTTGGGGGGAGGGGGAAAACACTGGTTCTCTTGCCAGAATCATCCATAATTTTCCAATAGCACTGAAATAATCTGAAGAATGCCATGGGTGATTGAGAGAGGCAACAATATGAGCTCAAGGCCTCAGTGCTTAGATCTGGTGATACTGTGTGTTAGTTGACAGAAACGTCAGTCTGTAAAACATCTGTAAAACCCTCATATTAATCTTTCCGGTTCAGTTATGATTCAATGACAGGACTTTTAACCTTCTTGAGAGTCTTTCTTCTTTTTTCAATCACTTTCACTATCACAGTTAATAGCACTCCAGTCAGGCTATAGTTAGCTCAAATAAAACCATACTTCTTAGCCATTAAATTTATTGGAAAACAATCAAATATGTGAAAGAAAATGTGCATCCTAATCTGCATACTTAATGGCTAGGTAGCTTTGCTGCAGAATTTAGCTTCAACCCTGATCAAACTCACCTAGCTCTCTAAGGCTGTGTCTGAAAGCTTAGGCAGCTGACTTGTTTCCTTGCTGCCCTATGAGGCAATGACTTTGCAGGCAGCGTTTACACACATTTAATTTCAGATAGACTTCAGAGGCAACATAAAGGTTAAAGGATAAAGGATCTACAACAAAAACAGAGAGAGAGAGAGCTTTGGTGATAACTAAGCAAATATTTAATAACATACAATATTAATTTGTTGCTATAAATTAAATTAAACATGGAAAAAGTTGGTCAAAAACACTTTTTTACACAAACTGACCAAATACCGCAACTTTCAGATTCTATTTTGTCTTTTTTAGCTCAACCGATCATATGAAGGTATTTTAGTACTCAGGTTGTGACACTATCTTTGGATTCGGACATGCCTTGTGTTGCCTTATCTCAGTATACTGCCTGTGCACTGTTTCTTTTATCTGACACGCACGCACACACATTTTGGAGTATTTACTAATGAACTGATAAGCTGAATCAGGTGTGTTTGATTAGGGAGACATCTAAAATGTGCAGTGTTGGGGGTTCTCCAGGACCAGAATTGGGAACCACTGGTGTACAGTATGTCATTTGAGACACAGCCATAGACTTTCATTGATTGGAGGGTCAACACCTTGCAACCATATAGGAATGTGCTACAAATCACTCAGAACACATTATAGCAAACACATCTTAACCACCCAAGACCTTCTTAGTCGTGCATGACAAAGCACCATACTTATTAGTGTTTAATGTAGTGTATAGCTCACATTAACCCTGAAAGAAGAGTCAGTATTAATCTGTATGATGGAGTTTGCTGAATGACACTGAAGAGCATGTCAAATGTGCTGATTAAAGCACATTTAAGGCTTGCGTCATGCTTAAAGGGATAGTTCACCATAAATTGAAAATCATTTATTTACCCTCATGTCATTCCAAACTTTTATGACTTTCTTTCTCCTGTGGAACACAAAAAACTGTTTTCTTCCATTCCAGTAAAGTCAACGGGGTCCAAAAGAACACCGAACCCCGATGAATTTCATTATACACTTAAAAATAAGACTCCTAAAGAAACTTTTTGAACTATAGAGAACCTTCTGCACAATGAAAAGATTTAATGGATGTTAAAGGTTCTTCATGGAGCCATAGTTGCCAATAAAGAACCATCATTTTTTAATAAGTATACTCTCAGTATACTCTCACATTAAGTTTAGCTGAACTACATTTTCATTATAATCCCACCAGCTGCTGAGTTAACTGCAACTTAAATGCTATTAAATGCTAGTTTAAAAGTTCATGGATATCTGTCTCTCTGGGGTAAAATACTGTATATACACTTCAAAGCTCCAACCATTCAGTAACGCAACTCGAAGCG